TACGTATCTTGTCTGGCCTGGGAACACCTTGGGGTCCCCCAGGAGGAGCTGGAAAGCATTGCCGGGGAGAGGAATCTCTGGGGTGCTTTGCTCGGCCTGCTGCCCCCGCGACCCCCTCAATGAAAATGGATGGATGGATGGATGGATAACAAATTGCGAATCAGTTAATTAAGTCTACCGGACTCACAGACTCATGAAACATCCTCAATGTTGTCCGGCAGCTGTTGAAAGACCTCAGCCTCCTCAGAAAATAAAGGCAGCTCTGGCCCTTCTTGTAGAGAGCTTCAGTGTTCTTGGACCAGTCCAGTTTATTGTCATTATGCACTCCTAGGTACTTATAGTCCTCCATAATGTCCACACTGACCTCATGGATGGAAACAGGGGTCACTGGTGCCTTTGCCCTCCTCAGATCCACAACCAGCTCCTTTGTCTTTGTCACATTAAGCTGTAGATGGTTCTGTTCACACCATATGACAAAGTCACCCATCACAGCTCTGTCCTCAGCCTTATCATCCTCACTGCTACATCCAACAATTGCTAAGTCATCAGAAAACTTCTGAAGATGTCAGGACTCTGTGTGGTACCTGAAGCCCAGGGTGTTGAGGGTGAAGAGGAAGGGAGAAGAACTGTCCCCTGTGGGGCCCCACTGTTGCTGACAACTCTCCCTGACATACAGTGCAAGCACACATACTTGTGGTCTGCCTGTCGGGTATCTTACAATCCAGGACACAAGAGGGGCATCCACCTGCATTGCTGTCAGCTTCTCACCCAGTAGAGCTGGCCTTATGGTGTTGAAAGCACTGGAGAAATCAAAAACATGACCCACTACACTGTAAGCTATTGTACTATTGCAGGAACATTACTTTTGTTGTCATGGAAAAGCCGATACTTAAGCATGCTTACTAGGTTAATTGCCGGCACCAACCTGTCGAACAGAAAACAGGCCAACTTTGTGTCATTCTTTGTTCCCATCCTCTCCGTCAGTGCTCACCAGTGAAAATGAAAGTTAAACCTAACCCCAGATTTACTCTCATTTTGGAACAACTTTGTCTTTGCTTCTGTTTTTTCAGTACTGTGTTTAAAATTTTCATAGCTTCTAAGATGATGCCTGCTGCTTCCACCTGGTCGCTACCTTTTGAATAAAGACTTTACCTTAGCAGCGCGCTGTTATTGGCTGGGGGTTGCACACCAATGCCCAAAGGTTGCAGCCCATTAAGCATCCCGAACACAACAAAATAAGAAGAAAATCAGACACTACAGACAGAGGGCAGAGTCCCTGCAGATAAATACAACACCACACACTGAGAGTGGGTTGTAAGTAATGATTGAGAGGGATTACTTCTATTTGTGTCTATACCGAAGAGTATGTATTTAAAATCCAGTAAATTTCCCAAGATAGTTTGCGTCTGTTCCCGGGACAGAAAATGTGTCATTTTTGGTGAAAATATGAATTCCTAGTGAATGAGATTCATCCACCTGGGCCATTCAAATCTGTTGGGAATATTGGAGTTGTGCCTTTAGTTTAAACTTTTTAGCTTAACTGTAATATCTAGTGTATTGTTTCATAGTAATTATAAGGAAAATACTTTAACCCTTCCCCTCTAAAAGTTGATGATACATTTTAACAGCACCACCAGTAGATGGTAAATGTCTCAGTAAAGAGGAGCACTTTGCTCAGGTGCAGTCTTTCTACCTCAGCCCTCCCTGCGTCTCTGTGCAGCTCATTACACTGGAGACAATTTCAGGGGAGTTAAAAGAGATAGCAACATGTCCTGGTAGCTCAATGTTCAACATCCATTTTCCTTACTGTAGAGCTGAAGACAGAAATATGTTGGAAGCGTTCTTTTCCCTTTTGTTAAATGTGACTGATTGCTGCTGTGAATGCACCAGCAGAGCCTAATGATTTTCTCTGCTGCCAAGTGCATTACAGAACAAACACTCGACTTTCAGCGAGGAGGAAACGCTAAATTCAAGCCATTCATCTTTCCATTCCGTCACATCATGTCTCCCGTGCAGCGCATTACACACATTAGCAGACGCTAACGACATTCTCCGGTTTTTAAACGACGGGGCCTCCGACACCCGGTGATGATGAATGGTTACTGTTAGCAAGTGAGGAATGGGAAGATAGCCCAGGGAGGAGCGACAGGGAATGCAGAGGGGGGAGATGATTGGGTTTTTTAGAGTGAAGATAGATGATGTGACAAAGGGAGCCGGTGTAATCTGGGGATTTGAACCTATGAGGGATGGGCTGAACGCTGAGGGAGGCATGACAGGGAATGCAGAGAGGATGATTGGGTTTTTAGCCTCAAACTAAAGATAGATAATGTGACAAAAGAGGCAGAAAAATCTGTGGGTTTGATCCACTGAGGGATGGGGTCATCACTGAGAGAGGCGTGGCTGCGAATACAGAGAGAATGAGAGTTCTTGGTGATGTAAGAAAGAGAAAAAACAGGTAATGTGACATTATGAACTGTGGAGTTGAAATTATAAAGAATCATTGAAAGAGATACGGCCGAGAACAGAAAGATTGTTGATTTTCAAACCTTCAGAGGGGAGGCAGATATTGTGACATGTTTAATCGGGACATTTGAAGCAATGAACAATAAGCTGATGTCTCACAGATGAAAAACTGAGGATGTTTGGATTTTTAAATTCTAAACATTTGGATCTTGATGGAGGAGAGAAGGATTTGAACCAGTCAAAGCCTGAAGAGATTTAAAAAATGCTGACATTAAGACAAATGTTCAAAGGATTTTGGTTTTCAGGATGAAGACAGAAAGGTTTATTTTTTGAAACAAGGGCAAAGTACATAAATAAGTACCGTCATAATAGCATGCACTGGGGCCCATCGTTACCACCTTACGCCACTGACATCAAGCCTCTAAACAAAACTGATTAAGAATGATTTTACTTTCACATCCTTGTAATTATAATGTTCATCTGGGGGCTGAGGGTAATTTGTCTTTTTCACAGTCTAATTTTGGCAGGTATGGAAGAGTCACGGAACTGTTTGTTGTTGTTGTTGTTGTTGTTGTTGTTGTTGTTGTTGTTGTTGTTGTTGTGTAGTGATGCCAGTTTAATTTGGTTCGGTCAGAGCTGTGGAATATTTAATCATTCATATTTTACAATGATCAGTTATTGTATCTGTATCAGCTATGAAAAGCAGGTAGTTATTGGTTGAAAGAAATCTATATCCTGCATCCCTATTTGTATTAACGCTATGGTTTCCAGTCAGTATATGGGCTGAAGTGGAAGACATTGCAGAAGGAAATGGTAGAAAAAGATTATGACTTTATGAGTCCTTTACGGTCACAACAGTAGAATTACACCATGTTAGGAAAGCTGTGGCAGTGGCACGTGATCATACTTTATGATTTGGCTGCAGCACTGTAAGCTATACAGTGATTGAAAATCCCTACCCCCAGGGATGCAGGAACTACAGCCTTTGAACAAAACTGAAACCAACTTTGTGAACTTAGAATGCAGAATTAGTACCAGAGTTTCTAAAATGTTCCAAGGGTGCTGAAGAGTTCCTTTGGTCATTAATGGTCTGGCCATTAAATCTCCAGTTCCTCATTACTGTTAGGCCTGAAGGGCGAGGACACAGTAAGGAGTGTCAGAGAGAACTCAGAGGATGATGGTAATTTTCTCAAGACCAGTGAGGGCACAGTGAAGATAGAGAGTGCAACAGAAGAAGAAAGTATAACGTGGGGATTTGAACATGCGAGGATGCAGCACATACTGAGAGGGGGGACTAAACGCAGAGAGCTTTTTAATGGTTAACGGCCGCAGAAGGTGAAGAGGGAAAATGAGGCAGAGGAGCCGTTATAATCCAGAGGTTTTAGTTGGTGAAATGGTTAGAGGGATGGATACTCAGGGAGGAATAATGGGACAGGGAGAGAATGATGGGAGGTTGTTAGCATTTGAAATGTGCAACAGAACGGCAGATTCACTCGGAGGGTTTAGACCTGAAAATGTCTCATGTTTCCCATTAACCAAAGGGATCCTGAGAAGATTTGAATCTATCAGAAGAAACAGAATGGACTGCAGAGAGGTTATAAAATGTGTGTGAGTGCACAGATGGGCTGAAAATCACACATTCCTCAAAGAAAGGACTTTTTAAAATGTACTATTAATACCGTCCTGCCATTAGTTTCCTTTTCTAAAGTTCTGTCCCAGTTGTCAGTGATAACTCCTCTGGATTTAATATCTCTCTGATAGATTAATTCAACTGTACACTCAGTAACAGCAAAGGAACATTTTTCACTGTGCTGACTGTTGAAATTCTATTAAGTGTTATCAAATGTTATCCTTCTTTGACTCTTCCTCATTATCTTCGTCTCGCTAACTTCTGTCCTTCCAGCTTCTGCCTTTACTTTCTCTCTGCTGTGCGATGACAGTTTCCTTTAATCATTCTGACATGCGGAGGATTACAATTTTGGAAAATGTATTTAATTTGATTTACTTTATAACTACATTGTATTTTCTTATGTAAAGATTCTTTTTTTTGCCATACTTCTTGTTTAATCCATTTGCCTTCCTTAAACCTTCTCTCCTGCTCTTACATTTGTCTCTTTCGTGTCATCCCCTCTCCACCTCCTGTCTTGCTCTTGTCTCTTTTTATCTGATTATCCTCTCTTCCTCTAATCTTTCCTGTCTGTTTCTTTTTCAGTCTCCTTCTCCTCTCTCTCCTTATCTTCTTTTTTTTTTTTATCCCTCTCCCTGCTTTTGGTCCAGATGGAGGTCCTTGTTGCATGTCGCCCACCTCTTTATCAACATAAGAGCTGTTAAAACAATACAGGGTGCATGTGGATCAAAAGGGTCAAATGAATTCCTCTAAAAAACACAGATGCATGATTATATTATCTTTCCATGTCCTCTAAAATGCATTGTATTTGTATTTCTAAATGTAGATAATGCACTGATCATTATTTTACCTTGCTAACATTTCAGAAATGAAGTTTTTAATCAAAACATAAAATCTGTTTCTTCCTCAGTTCCTCTCTCAGCTCCAAAGAACCTGCGGGTGTCAGAGGAATGGTATAACCGCTTTAGGATCAGCTGGGACGTTCCTCCTTCACCCACCATGGGCTACAGGGTTGTCTACCAGCCTCTCTCTGGTAAAGTACACACACAAACTGTGTCAGTCAGATGAAACTACATTTTACTGTTTTGTTTCGAGTATTACAGATTCCACAAAATAATATATCCAAACACTTTTTAACCTTTTGTAATATAGCCAAAAATCTGAAAATTGTTAGTGTCTTAATAACTTGGATAATTTTTTCCTGAACAAGTCTAAGAGTCTCCTTAGAGGACTACTTCACCCCTTAATTGATCATTTGTATATCAATTACTTACCCTGTGATTTGATGAATTTATAAAGAAAACTTTGTTTTCCTTGCATTCCTCCTCACTGAAAGGAGAATCCAAAACGAACAAAAAATGATTGATATCTTAAATTCATTGGGGTCCCCGTTCAACAACCGCAAAACTATACCAAAACACCCGTTAACAAACACCCACATAGCTTGTGCCATAAAATCCAAGTCTCATTTATCAAGTCTTTTGCTCAGGACCTCCCAAACAGCGAACACTTTCCAACGGGGAGCTGAACAAAAAGTGAAACTTATCTCTGCTCCCTTTGAAACCAGATTCCATTGACAGAAACAGTAATTTTACCTCACTGAACACAGGAGCTGCTGCTGGCCTTCGTTGTTTAGTTTGTTTGTGTTAATGTGTTAATTTGGTGTTTTGAAGAGTTAGCTCGGATTCACCAAAGTCCCATATTCACACAAACTACCAGCAGCTATCAATCAGCCAGGTAAAAATGACTGTTTTTGTCAGGGATGTTTGCCTTTAAAGGAGCAAAGATAAGTTTTACTTTGAGTTCAGTTCCCCGTTGGAAAGTGCAGCCTGTTTAGGAAGCAGGGAGCATATGACTGGATAAATAAGAAGTGGATTATACAGCACGAACTGTGTGAGAATTTGTAAGTGCATGTTTTGAAAATATTTTGCTGCTGTTAAATGCTATTCCCTTTTTTTTAGGTAGTTAAGAATTTTCTCCGTTTTTGGATCTAATGAGCAGTAAAACTGTTTTTTAGGACAATCTATATGAGGTGTTTCATGGCAGAGATGCATTCACAATGATATGAGATGAAGTTCACTTCAAACGTGAATGTGAACAGTCTTGACAAAAAGATTGGATATGGGGAAATAATCAGAAATGTGCATTAGGCCCTGTAATGTGAATGTAGCCACACAAATAAAAGACACAATTTTCCTGCATATTGTTTTCGTATTCTTGTGCTTTTCAACTTTTTGGTACTATCTTGTTTTTAGTTATCTTCCACTCTCTCCTTACTCACTGAAATTGAAGCTAATGATCATCTCTGAAGTCACCCTTCTGTGCTCCTTCCACTCACTGACCATTTGCCCCTCCTTGATGCATCTCCTCAATTATCCCGCGCCCCCCCCTCTGCAGCCCCTGGACCAGCTTTGGAGACCTTTGTAGGAGAGGACGTGAACACAATGCTGATTGTCAACCTGCTGAGCGGGACTGAATACAGTGTCAAGGTCATCGCCTCCTACACCACCGGATCCAGCGAGGCTCTTTCAGGGAGGGCCAAGACCTGTAAGTTAAAAGTATAATAGAACTAATAAACATACCTGTACCTTATTGCTCTTCTCCTCAGCTTCCGCGCTTTCTCCAAATAATTCACCAACCTTTAGGATTTATTTTTAAACAGTGATTTAAGTAATTGTGAATCAGACAAATTTAAGTTTTCTCTTCCAAAACAGCCTCCCTGCACATTTCAGTGTGGCAGAATTCAAACTCTAATGTGGACATAAAGAGACCTCTTTGTGTTTGACAGATTTCGCAGAGCACAGAGTAACATTCAATAAAGTAATTATATATTTATGTTTATAATAAATACCTTGCTATGGTTTATATGTCACCTGATAGAACTACATCCCCGCATTTGTTTCCCCATAGTTTATATTGCAATTTAATGCCATTTAGATAAACAGCTAATATCATCAGTTATCATACCAACAGTCACATCAAATCTCAATCTCTTCTTTTTTGTTTTCTGTTGCCCAGCTGTTGATAGCTGGTTTTAGCCTTTTATTTTTACACAGAATATTTTTCGCTGGACATCCATGACAGCACCAGCTGCTGTTGGAGAGAAAAATCTTTTTCTCCCCACCAATTAGAGGAGCCAGTCAAACACTTCAGACGTTAATTCCATCATAGCCATCTGATGCTCTTTGCAGCAGTCACAACTAATTACAGGATACAGTCTTGAAATTTTATTGTGACCATTTTCGATGTAACCAGAACCACTGATTAAAAGATTTAGATGGAGGAGTTTTCAGCCACTGCCTTGTTAGCGCTACAGTCCTTCTTTATTTCTCTTTGTTCTTTTAAGAATGGATAGTGGTTTACCATGAAGATGGTGTTAATTGGTTTGGGCTTTTATTGACGTACACTGTATGTCTATCATCCTCTTTTCTTCAGCAATTGTTCCCCAAGAAATTTTTAGTAATTTGTGTTTATTATTACTAGGGCTTCAGTGGTTTGTGTATTTGTACCAAGCAGTCAAGGTTAGGTGCACGCAGTCACAAGCAGAATGTATTGTATGTAGATTAATGCATACGCAGAACCAAAGTTTACAAGCGCCAGTTTTGCCAAGTAACTTTCAGCTGAGCTTTGTTATGAACCAATGCTGTTTTTAGCACAATAAGCTGATCATGGTGGGCACAAATGAAACTGCAGAGCAGAAAGACCCAGCTGTGGGTTCCTGATTAGCTACAATAGCAATGGAGAGGGAGTTGGGTATAAGAGAAGGACGGTGTGTCAGCCTTGCTTCACTGTTGCAGGGTCTGTGAATGGGAACACATCCAACATGCACACATTGGACGCATCACCCAGATGTGCTGATCACCAGGACGAGGAAAAAACAAACAGCAGCGAGACTCCTTATCACTGCTGCTTCCAAGCAGCCTCAAGACGCCACAGCAGAATAGGATAAAACAATTACTGAAGCAGCTGGCATTTACATCGACATATAGCCAAGGTGGAACTAATTAAAACACACAAGCAGTCAGGCTGGTGAATACAGTTTGCTGACAGAGACGCTAAATGCAGGTCAGGGTCAATGTGGATTGAAAACTACATCCCCACGGCGACATTAGTAACCCTACCCAAGCACAAAGCACAACAAGATACGACTGTGTAGTTGTGTCCATAACATAACAAAATTCTCTTGGTACACGACATTAAAAAGAAAAATATCCAGCAGGGTTGGAAATGTACTTTTCAGTCCACCTGCCAGTGTTGCTGGTGGTTCTCAATATCTACCAGACACTCAATAGATTACCATTGGTTTGTTTTTTTGGACAGTTAGTGAAGCAAATCTAGCACCCTCTTGCATATTTCACCAGCATCTGGCTAGTGCTAATTTCCAACGCTAGTGTCCAGCAACATTTATTTTCTGTCAAAAATACAAATCATTTCTGTCAAGCTTCATTCATCAGAAGTGTTGAATGCCCTGTCATAAATCAGGCTTTTAGTCTGTCTTTGGCATCTGCACTAGTGTCTGCTCAAAATAAATGAAAAGGGAGTGCCCACTAGCTCACCTGGTAGAGCGGGTGCCCCATGTGCAAAGGCCCTGTTCTTGTCACAGAGGCCGCAGACTCAATTCCAATCCACAGCCCTTTGCTGCATGTCGTCCTCACTCTCTCCCCCCCCTCATGTTAACAACTGTCCTGGCAATTAAAGGCAAAAAAGCCCTAAAAACTATATTAACATAAAAGAAAGAAATGAAAATAAACTTTTTTTTTCACTGTGTCGAATTAGCACCAAACCATGACTTCTGTGTTCCATTACCCTTAGCTACACATGTTTGTAATAGTCTTTGTAACTGCAGTACATTGACATTTTTCACGACAGTTTTTCATCTAATTAGCAGTAAAATCTGGCTCAGTGGGCAATCGTGGCCTATGAACCAATTTTAAATGGCCTATGGCTTGTCTCTCAAAATATTCTAAATATGGCTCATCACACAATATTGGTTAATAAAGTAAAATTACTCCACATTTTTTCTGCTCACTTCAGAATGACAGAACTATTCTTACAGTCTGTAGACATGCACCAAGTAGAAACTACATAGGCAGAACTAATGTGTTTTCATGAACAGGCGGTAAACAAAAGCAACCCAAAAGTTACCTATCAGCAGACATTTTCTGCTAGGTAGCAAACAAGGCCACATCAGAGAAGTGCAAAGGTCGATGGCGAGGGATGCTGCTTTTGGGAGTCATGGAAAGTTTAATATGTATTCACTGAAAAATGAAAGTTGACCTTGTCTCGTTTTTTTGCTTTGTTTGTTTTTTTCAGTAACCCATATCATGTTAGATGCAGCTTGTCCTAGGTATTTTCAGATACATTTATCTGATCCCCGTTCAAGAAACACTTCTGCTTTAACCAAAATAGATCAACTAGCCACACACGACTTTAACATCCCTCCTCCGGCAGAATTTTGTTTTAAGGAAAAACAAGGGCAAAGTTTTAAAATTCAAAACATGTTTGTCCACATCATGATGAACTATCATCAGACTGATAATGCTGCTCTCAGACAATCTTCTTATTGGTAACTTAATTGTTTCCTTGGCATTTTCTAAACCTGATCATTTATGTACCTTCTTATCGTTCTTCTCTGTACAACGATCTCCACTAATCAAATCAGGGAAGCAGCTGGACACCTGCAAACATCAATACCTTGATATCTATCTGACACTTTAAAGGAAACTTCACCTAATCACATCCCAGCCCTGGAACGGACTGTAGATGTAATAGATTTGAGTAATCTCACCGGCGATGTGGATCCTTCCCGCGGCTTTTTGAGTGTCTGGCTCGGTTCGATCAATCAGTGCTTCTCAAGTACAGCCATTTGAGTAGGAGCCTGGATTTTCCTCTCCTGCATGATAATTAACCACTTCACTGCAGGCTGGCCTATTGGTGAAATAGCTGTTTTTGTAACTGAAAGGTCTGATTCACGGTTGATCTCTATGACAGCCAAAGTGAATGATAAAAACCACGTGACCTTTTGAAGTGTCCTTGAGCAGCACAGTGACCCTCCACCCTTTCATCTACTCTCATTTCTCTCCGGGTAAGAGCTCTCAATGCAAGTGTCAGCTTAATCCCCGAACATGTAGCTCTAAATGGGTCGCAGGCACGTCACTTTGCATCGGAGCCACACTTTCCTTCGCTTGCATGACAATTAAGCACTTCTTGGTTGATTTGAAGGACAAGTTTGGGGGGGTTAGGCAAAGAAAACCTGAAGAAGATGGGTAAAGGAAGAAGAAAGATGGAGAGATGGGTGCAGTTGAAAAGAGAGTATAATGATATGAGGCCAGTGAGATCCCAGGAGGTGAATGGAGCGTCTGTCATTTTGCTCAGCAGCATGTTAATGAAGCAAGTGGACCAGTAGAGATGAGTGGACTGATGCTTCAATGTCACACAGCAACACAAGTATCTCAGTAGTTGAGGACAAAAGGAGACTGGAGCTTCAGATTTTTCTGTAATACCTTTTCACTGAGCTTTGGGTTTAAATTCAGTTTTACAGTTAGTGATGGATGAACATTGTCATTTTAGCAAAACCAATGCCTGTTGTAGTTGAAAAGATACTGTACAAGTGCTTCATGTGAAAGAAGTCAGAAAGACCTGAACAATAAGCAGAAATACAGTAGCTTCTGCTATTGTATCTACCTTTAATATTTAAATTATACTTTAACTTTAATCTGATGAGCTGTGGTGCCTTTTGGTATGGTACCTCTGGAACCAAAAGTAACCCTTCAGACATGGTACCTAGACCCTAGTGTTTCCACCACAAACAGTACCCTTAAATGTGGGCAGGGTTGTTGTCACTCACTGCTCCATCCAGCACTTCCTGTATTTCCTCAGTACCAGTGACACAGATGGAGGTCTGCACCTCGTTATCGTCCACAGAACGAGGCTGCACGCTGACATTTTCAGAACAAAGTAGAACAGAAATATCATTGATGTATTATAGAAAAGTCATTTATCTTTTCATAAATGACAAAAGGCACATCTGCCTAATTTTCGCTGTGGTATTGTGATACTACTCAGAACCATGATATTTTCATTGGTATTGCACAGTGGGTCCCAATTTTGGTACCGTGACAACACTAATCTGGAGGGGGTTCATCTGCAAAAACTAATGAAAAACTAAACAACAATATTCGGTATTCGGTACTCGGTATTCGGCCAAGCGTTTAATAATATTCGGCTTCGGCTTCGGCCACAAATTTTCATTTCGGTGCATCCCTACTTTGGTTTCAGGGTAAAATATGAAGATGGAAATAAACATGTTGACAAGACAAAAGCAGTGTGCCGACACTGCAGAACAGCGGTCGGGTATGTACTTGGAAACACGTCTAACATGCTAACGCATCTAAAGCGACACCACCCGAGTTTGAACGTTAACCGGCACGACTAGAAAAAGCAATCTGGTGCAAACTACGATATCGTCGTTGTTTAAAAAGAAAGAGCGTTTCCCTGACCATCGCGCTAAAGAAATAACCAACGCCATTGGAGTTGAGTAAAATTGT